TTAAATAAAAATCTGAATGTAACACTAAGCAAATACGTTTTTAACCCTGATGATTTAAATTGTATGTCTCGTATGTTTAGCCGAAGAAGAGCGGTGCAATATCTCGGGGTTATCCTGCCTCCATAAGTACGCAAGCCACCTCACTACCCTGAAGCCACGGTGGGCCACACGACCCGGTTTGACATGCAATTGTATTCCGTCGTGTACTGAAACCGAAATCACAGTCGTCAAAGACGTTGTAATACCGTGAGTACTATGGCGCAAGTCAACAGTATAAATTGTATTAGTAGCAGTAGAGGCTCCTTGCGAAAAAGTTCTTCCAGGGAAGTACTGGCCATGACCGCCACCTTACTTATTTCTGCCGCCAAGCAGTAATGTCAGCATTACTGTATTTCGGTCTGTTGAAGGGTAAGGGTGCTGGTAAAATTACAGGCACATGGGACTTGTCAACTTACGTGTCACGATAACGGGCGCAATGGCAGTATCCGTCAAATTTTTGCGATCTGAGTGGCACTGCAACTATTATGGACAGACGTGTAGCTTACCATCAGGCACACGAATTGTTCGTCCCGTCATTTGATATTATAAAAAAGTACTGAAGTGTTTTCTGCGTACCTTCTACATAGGCTCTCCTTCTTTAGATATTATTTACTCATGGCCATTGTTTTTTACCCACCGACTGACAGTTTACCCTTAAAACTACTCCAGAAACAAAGATTTCATCACAGAAAACCAGAGACTTGTACACAAGAATACAGGCTGTAATAAAAGAATGCGATCATATTTCAGCTGATACTTCCACTCATAAAAACAAACAACTATACTTTTAAGCTTCCAATTGAACGCGCACAAAAAATTTGGGGAATGGCAAATTTTTTAAAAATTATAAATATTAGGTACTTGCTATTATATTGATCCGCTCAAGTAACGCACGTTTTTATGCCCTAATGCAAACACAGTACACATTGTTATTACTTTCAGCAACAAAAGTAATAGAAAGAAGACCAGTGTGGAAATGATATTAGCATACTTACCTACGGAAAGATTCAAGCGAAACGTAATTAGGAGTCGCCTAGATTTAGTGGGTAAGTTTCTCAGTTGTATATATTTACTTAGTCATAGTTGTAGGTACTTAAGTAAAGTGTTTATTAAAGACAATACATTCCATGCTTCGACTATTCGATACAAAAAACTGTTTATTTGTACGTATATGTACTTCAGCTGGTCCGACCGCATGCGGAATAGCGAAGTTTTCCGAAGAGCTAAAGTAGGTGGAATCGAAGTATATCTTATGCGGCGACAACTTCGTTGGGGTGGCCATATATAAAGGAGCGCAGAGGGGCAAGTGGCAAAGTGCATCTTTTATTCGGAACTCACAGGGAGACAGCGAAACATGGCGGACAACTTCTTAGATACAAAGATGTGCTTAAGCGCCACATGAAAAATTGCGACATTTACCCAACAGAGTGGGAGAAACAGGCGGCCGATCGCCCGCAATGGAGATGTTTTGTGGCAAACGAAACGTCACAATTTGAGACTCGTCGACGAATTGAGTTGCACGTCAGACGTGACGAAGTGAAAACCCGACCTGTGGCGATCAGCTACCATTACATTGACGGTGTGCTCACGTGTCTCGTGTGCGCACGGATCTTTACTAATAAGATTGGGTACGTGAGATACGTGAGACCGGACGAACGCCACCATCATCGGAACTGAAGCAGTTCCCGTGGCCGAAAATGGGCACATCCGCAAGCACACTCACTCGCGCACACACGTACATACACACATTAAACATTACCACATACATTCGACGTCCTCGGTGGCCCAACGGTTGGCATTGTGGACGCTGAATGGGGAGGTCCCGGATTTGCTTCCCGGAAAGGGGAATAAATTTTCTAAATTTTCTAAATGGGTTCTAGTCTGGGTGTTCTAGACAGTGCCGCGGACTTTAGTCTGGTACTCATACTACAAGGATTTCCCTAATTTGAGACCAGGTAATTGGTACAATACCTATTATACATTTAGCAGGATTTACATTTGTATGACGTATCGTGTCGTGACGCGTCAGGACGGTATCGGTTTCATACATTGAATATGGTAAGATTTATATTAGTGTGTCACAATCTAACGTGACGGCTTGTGTTGTGTGTATGAAACCAATATCATTCTGACGCGTCACGACACGACACGTCAGACAAAAATGTAAATTCGGCTTATACATTACTAGTACTACATTCGCAAAATAGACTTAAGAAGAAGAAGTAAGAACGTATAACAGGTTTACGTTATCATCAGAGATAGAAATATGCATAGTATATTTCCCAAAATGTTGAAATAATATACAATTACAGATACAGCTTATATACGCCAAGAGCACACGAAGCTTTGGGTAATTATCAGGTTAGTTTTCTTTATCTTTTGGTGGCTATTTTTATTATTTAAATATTCTGGAATATTGCCATGAATTATTATTTAATATTCAAGTGTAATAACCTGAAATATTATTTAATACTTCACGATAATATACTCGAATAAAATTGCTACTGAAATTAGGTAGAGAAAGTGAACCTAAAAATTTCCCTTTTACACTTTCGATTTTAAACAGTTCTTATCGCAAGCCGAATAGAGTTAAATTTAAATCTTAACCTGTCCAGCTAGACGTGCTCTTAGCCTTCTGCCTTATGTAACTTCGTCAAACCGTGAAACACGAATATTTTGGAAGAAGAATCATTCGCAATTACGAATATCGTGTATTATAAATTCAAAGTCAAATCTGGTTGTTTGTAAAAACAATATTTTAAAATAAACAATGAATAAACAATAATTTAAAATGTTTGAAAAAACAAATATACGCAATTTAGATCTGAAAAAATTGTTTCATTTCCTGTGTGTAATAACCGCGAGAACCAAAGAACTCGTTATAAATTTTTTTTTTTTTTTTTCAGTGTCAGTAGGCGGTACTGCGGGTCTTTTTGTCGGAGCAAGCTTATTAAGTTTCGTTGAACTGCTGTTCTACTTCACAATTCGATACGGCAGTAACATTTTACTTGAACGAAAGAGACTCGGGGAACTGAAGAAAAAGAAATTCAGACAAAAGTTTCAAATTCGAAAAAAGTTAGGAGCACATAATTATTACTAATTCTAACACATAGGGTTAAAATAACATTTCTAAGTCTATTCTCAATTCTCAGGCGATATAAAAGATAAAAAAGATTTCTTCCTTCTATTTTACGTTCTATTTTATGTAAAATAAACGAAAGATTGGTCAGATGGAAATTTAACGCAATAGTATATCAAAATGTACTACCTAAATACTTAGAATAATAACGCATAGAAACCTAGTCCGCACATGCTAAGTGAGGCAAATTGAAGCGCGCCCAATGGGCCTACACGAGCGGGCGGGCCGTCAGTGCTCAAGGTCAACTTGCACCGCGAACAGCTCAAGAATTTTAGCTAAAAATGACGAAATGTGCGGTAAATGAGTGTAAAAATACGTCAGACAAACATAAAATAGATACCAACATCACATTCCACAAGGAAGTAACGCCTTTCAACTTGTATTTTTATATAAATATTCACTAAAACCGAAAATTAACCTACTACTAAAACTAGCCTACATGAATTTGATTTTTGCCTCACTTGTGACACTTCGTTCGATATGAAACTATCATTCTATGCGTTATTATTCTAAGCCTAAATATAATTCCATATCTTAGACCTAAGGAAGTATGCCTTCAGTTTTTGCATGAAAAACGCAACCGGGGTTTTTTAAAGTATTTTTCTATATACTTTAAGGTCATATATATCGCTAAAGTAGAATATATTTTCATTATAGACTAAGGCATACTTTATTGGTAAAATTAAAATATACAAGTTATAAAAAATTAAAAATCATATTCGTATTATTTTCCTATGTTACTTTTTTTTTTTTTTTTTTTTTTACTATTCTAGTTACATTCAAAATTAACTTAATTATAATTAATTATGATTGACCTGTGGCTCAGTTGGTTCAAGTCCCACTGGGTCGAAGAAATTTTTCAATGTGTTCGATCTTTGTATCAATAATCATAATAAAACTAGTGGAGTTATTTCACAAAAAATATCAATAATACATATCATTAATTATCTTATTTAATATTATTTAACCAATGTGATAAATTGATTGCTTGACAAGCCAGTGCAATCTATATTCAAATAAGTTGTCTAAAGCGCAATCAACAATTTCAAGAGGCAGCCAGTTATATACTGTCCAATACATTACTAATTTTCACGTGTAGGACAAAATATGCAGTACGGGTGCAACCCTGTGTTTATTATGTAACTCATAGTCATGTCCTTCCCTTCGTCTAGTACAGTACACTGGGCATTTACGTGATCATAGAAATAATATAGCCTGGGTCTGAATCACTTCACATATAATGTGCATTTACAACATGCTTTAGGAGGTTAAGCAATGATGTTACACGATTTTCTAGTAAATAAGTATTCACTCACAGTTGTGAATACGTCTAAATTGTAGCTTTCGAGACATGAATGCGGCAGTAGTGTAGTCCATTATTAGTCCGTTCCTTTGCCGTGGGCATCAGAAAGGCTGCAAGCATCAAAGCACTAACATGGGTAATTTTCACGGTACTTTTTAGTTTAGTTTTAGTTTTGTGTACCTAATAATTTGTATTATTTAAGTATTCAAGGATAAACTATTGTGTAATATTAAATAACATTTCAGGGTGCTACAGTCAAGTATTAAATAACACTTCATGATAATATTATAGAATATCTAAATAATGAAAATTGCCACTAAAATTAGGTAGAACTAACCTGAAAATTACCCACTTATGTAATTATAAAATTATCTCTAACTCATATCGCTTAATTTCTTTTTTATTTGTCTTTTATATTGGGGTGTAAGGCACTTTCGATGAGTGATTTTCTACTAAATATTTTATAACACAGGTTTTACATAACATAAGTGTTGCACAAACAGATATAAGTATATGAAAGGAATATAATAGTGAATCTTACTCACAAATCGCTAATAAAATTAAAACACGTTGTATAACTTAATTTAAGAGAGGAACTAGAAACAAATTGTTTTGTGCTATTTGTACCATTTCGGCTGAAATGTGGCAATGGCGGCGACTTTACCTACGGTGCATGGTGTGCGGCGCACAGATGCTCATGGTCTTGGAAGATGTCGAGTGCCGCTCGCAAGGCATCTAAAGAGCCTGCGTCACTCACGGCGCAAGCAAACGGGCTATTCATATTACTATAGTACAAATAATTACAGTGACGTTGCGGATTGACGTTGCAGCATAACAGGTCATTCTGTAGATGTTGATGATAGAATGTAGCATTAACTTTGTAACGCATTAGAGCTCTCCATTGGAACGGCCATTAAGTAATTATACTGATATCTTGCTATTACAACCTGTCCCAGATGGAAGAAAATACAAAGACTAAATCAGTGCAGTAGTCATTTTTTTTATAGAAAAATGATATATATGATATATGTACATGATACGGTAAAAATTTCACGAACATTTATTTGTTTTTGTGCATGTTTTTTAACATAGAGCTCGCATGTTTGCCATATTTCAATTTTTCTGAGATATATAGACCTTGACTCTCCTTACAGGACCAGAAAAAAAATGTATAAAGTTCAATTAAATAATTCATCTCGTAAAAGTAGTGTATGCATCAATTTCCAATCCACTTCCAATAATATTGTTAATTTTCAAAATTGTAAGTGTTCGTTTTTTTATTTATTTTAGCTAAACATGAGCGCATGTTTAGCGAAATGGGCTAGCGCCGATACTGCACGGTGGACGGTTGAGTTTATTTTATGACATATCAAATGGGAGCCACACACCATGTATATGGGACTTAATAGAACACAGTGCAGCATAGATAGTTTCGCTTAGGAACCTATTGAAAGTAGAAATTGTAAATAATATATTGTTCCTCGAAAAACGAAAATGTTATTTTATCAGTGAAACCTAATATTGTAAATAAAGAAATAACAAAATATAGAGCAATTTTCAAGATCAGAAGTGAACCTTAGCATAAACGAAAAAAGATACCCGTATATACCTATAACCACTAATCTTTAATTAAATAAACTAACAAATAACGGACATAGGAAACTGAAAAAGACGAACTACACGATCTAAGGTAAGGTGACAATTTATAAGAATAGATTCATTGTTCTATTTGTCTCTCACATGCAAATAACATTATCAAAAATTGTAAAATGCAAATACAAATCCACCAGTGATGTTGTCATATGTAAATACAAATAGAGCGCATGTATTATAAATTATGTAAGTGAGTAAATATTTAGGTAAATTTGTGCTAATAAATTAAAATTGATAATTATATTTAAAAAAAAAGGTGTATGTGTAACACGGAAGATTTATGTGGTCTGTGATGTGTAATTCAACTCTCACATAATTGGTAGAATATATGTATAGGAAATGAAACTATTTTTCCAGATTTAAATCGCGTATAATTTGTTTTTTCAAACAAACCGACGTTTCGGGCCCTTTAAGTTTTAATGCCATCCCATGGTCACAGTTGATAAATTATACGCGATTTAAATCCGGAAAAATAGTTTCATTTCCTATGTGTAACAATCGCGAAAATCTAAGAACAGAATATATGTACTTCAAGGAGTTGAAAAAACTCTTTGAAGTATTTACACAGAACAGTTGACATTCATTAATACTACTTATAGTTAAGTTGGTTTCAAGCGTTCATTTACAAAAATTCATGTTAATATAAATGGAAGTAAATTAATTTTAACCCGAGTAGCATATATTATTTTATATTAAGTAGGTACGAATTAGAATGCAAAACAAGGAAGTTTTTTTAAAACTTTACTTCAAAAAAAGGAGGAGGTTCTCAATTCGTCAGTATTTTTTGTGTCACATGTTTAGTGAACCGATTTCGATGATTATTTAGTTGAGTTCAAGTAAAATGAGCTACCGTCAACAGCACACCAAGTTACACACTTCTAAGAATCAGCCGTGACCATGACACTTGGGTAAAGGGCCCGAACATAGGTGTTTGAAAAAACAAATATACGCGATTTAGACCCGGAAAAAAAAGTTTCATTTACTATGTGTAACAATCGCGAAAACTTTATTCGAATAACACATCCAGTGCAATGGAACAAGATCCGTCAATGTGTACCTTGATGTGCTGTCGTCTCTACATTAACTTTGTAATATGTTGTTGACAAAATTCAAAAGCCGCTTTTCGTATATTATCTTCTGCCGAAGCGTATTACAATTTGCTCAGCCAGCAAAAGCGTCGCCCTCAACCCAAACCGTTTAGTACGAAGCCTTACAACGATAACTCTATACGAACACCATAAAACACCATTTATTGGAGACATCCGAGTGTGAACTCGAATACAAACTCGTATTTTCGGGGCATTAGAAAAATAAAAACCTTAGCATTCCCTTTACGTTAGAGTAGTTGATATAAAAATCATACCTAACAATTTCCTCAATCAAAGATATCAATAGTTCTTCATCGAAATAACCGTAGTTCTCCATTTTTCTTCCCTTGAAATTGGCCACCCCATTTACCGACGGTATCGATCGGTAATGAGCAAGAGGGACGGACGTACGCCCTTGCTCATTGTTCTTTTGTCGCATAAACATGAAAATGCGACCTTATTTACCGGTTTTCGAAGCAAATTCACAAATTTTCCGCACCTCTTTGAAAATTAGTGCACAGTGATTGTTTTAAAGATAGTGTGACTACGATGATGTGACTAAGCTAAATTGGACAGTTAATATTTCCATTGGCGTTAGAATTAAGTATTTACTAGTAAATATTTCATAGGTAAGTTACCTAACATGTACGTTGGTAGTTTTTCTTCTTTGAGAAATACATTTTTCCGCACAACACTCAAAGTCTATGAGTTAATTAACAAAGGGATAAAATGACATAACACTTAACAGTAGTAAAACATAGCATATCTTTTTTACCTACTTAATTCTAAAAGAGGATGTTTTGATTTTCTGAAGATAATAAGGTTCTTATCCTACAAATACGAGGAATCATTACCAACTCGCTATGTAGTGTGTACTTGTCTATAAACATAGCACCTAATAAGTAAACACTCGTTTATTTCTATTTTATGTCCGTGTCATTACAAAACATCTCTCTCTCGTCTCTCTGCTCTGTAATGAAGCGTTCTGTTTCCCCTTTAATAAATTTATCAACCCTTTCATTATTCAATTGAAGCATAACTTTATGAAAAACATGTTTTATCAAACCACACTATCACAACTAATATACTATATAGTTATTAATTGATGTAGCTATCAGTTCCAATGATAACATGTTTCGACAATGCGATTGTAGTACCACAAAAATGACAACTGATCAGAGCAAGAGCAAAATGAGTTTCACAGTAAACGCACTGGGTGGTGGTGAAGCATGCGGTGCCCGATGGACCTTGGGGGCTTTGCTGTTGGCACCTCTAGCAGCTGCCAACTCCAGCTACTGCGCAGTGCTAGCCATCATCCTTCTTACTGTCTTTATTGTTGTTGCCAGTAAGTGTTCTCCGTACAATGACGAGTTCTTTTTAACCGACTTCAAACTTCAAAAAACTTTTTTTTATGTTACGCGATGATTTGTGAACCGATTTTCATGAATCTCTTTTTGTCGGAATTCCATGAACTTTTGAGATCGGTTTTTTTAATAAAAAAGTTATTTAAAGAAATTTACACGTCTATGCCTTGTTTGAATTTGTAACAACATAAAGTTTGTATTGTTTCGCAGCTTTTACGTGTAAAGATCTACGGCAGTTGGCCGAAATTCTGCCACCTTCAAAAACAAGTAGAGGTCGCAGAGAGAGGAACCTCCGATCATTTGCAGACTTTATGGCAATGTGGATGTCTTTTCTCTCCCATTTGGTAGCCGTAGCAATATGCGCAAGGATACTTAGCGCAACAGCTGACCACGTGACAGGGGGACGTACGAGAAGATGGTTATTTGGCTATGAAACCAGGGCCTTGGGAGAGCCCTGGCCTGATGTTCTGGGAGTAACTGTTGTAATGGTCGTCTGTGCCATGTTTATGTGTGGATTAGAAGTACGTAATCAAAATTTAAAGACGCTATCGCCACAACCATTGAATGCTTATCAATCCGTCTACATAATGTATATTTTTACAGGAGAGCATGATGTTTACCTTTATATTGCTGATTCTGCTCTACTTATTCAGTCAATTCTTCGCAATCGTTGGTCTTATTAATTTCGATATCGCCAACATTAACATGCCCATTCCAATGACTATATATGAGGTAAGGTGATGCTTCTGGATTTGGAAGCACTTATGAAACTTTCTATCAAATCTTTCTATGCAATCTATGGTGTTCTGTTTCAGTTATTTGCAACAGCAGCTCCGATTTCATACACATTTAACGTAGTTTTACCACCTAAAGAATCACCTAACAGTTTGAGGAAAAGCATGTTTATCTTGATAGCATTACCGATGATCGCACTCTGCGCTTTATGCTTTCTATACGCCAATATGTTAAAAGGGTAAGACTTTTATTATTTTCATTCTTGTTTTCTTTTGCGTTCCTTTAAAAAAAAGATTTTTCTTTCAGAAGTAGCATTGATGCTGCTTTGCCGGTGACTACTCTCCTTGAAGCGAGAGCTGCCGGATGGATCTGCCCATTTCTTGCCGCAGTTACAGTTGCAGGCGTCTCGCTTGCCCTCACCGAGCTCTGTCCGTTGCTATTCACTGTCCTTGTCGCTCTAGCATCTCCGGAATGGAAGGTTCTTACCAGATCCATGACCTACGAGAGCACAACTACCGGTAGCCCAGTTTTAGCAGTATTTACAGCTGGTAAGACACATTGTCAATTCATACAATAAACATACTAAGATGCTGTGAAATTAAATAAAACCTTTTCTTTTAATATTTTAGGAAGTTTAGCAGCGATATTAGCGTTCGCATGTCCGTTATCTCACATGATAACACTGATGAACGCAAGTCATTTAATCGGAATAGCTATTCAGGCATTGCACTTTATTGTGATGCGTTGTGTTCCCACTGCTGAGCAAATAGAAGCTGGAGGTGAGTAACCAAACATACGGAGGTAATTTTTCAAATCGCAATTAAAACTTTGTTAGCGAAACTATTTTGCAAATTGTAATCGATACAGTCACTAAACGAAAAAGTCATTTGGGAAATGGTCATTCTAGTTTCTGAAATTAAGTCTAAATTCAACAAAAGAAAAGCTGCATGACAGTGTCGTTTTCGACGTACGATACTATCTATTTAATTTCAGATGTAGAATACAAACGCCTAGGAAAAGAAGGAACGTCAAAAGGAGCAAAAACATCTGGCCATAAAGCTAACCGTGGGCTCTGGTTTATCCCTTCAGCAATTCGACATACCAAAACCTTGGAAAGCATCAAATCGAAAGTTACAGCAAAAGGTACGAGTAAATCACCTTACATTTTTCCGATTCCCTAAGCACTAGTGTTGTAAAAAAACTCGAGTCCAGGATTCTACTATTTATCTATATATTAACTCGATCCAATTTTGCACGTCTCAGTGGCCTAAAATACTCACGAGTTCGAGTCAAGTCAAGTCATCGGAGCACTAACACGAGTCGTAAAGTTAACTCGAGTTTGAACAAAACTCGAGTTCGAAAACTCGACTCATAGCGACATAGACTCGAGCACTAATTTCGAACTCGAGTCTATTTGGAAACTCGATAGGCTCGTAATATATCGAGCAGTGAGTCTCTGTCTCTATGAGTCGAGTCTTGGAGTCGAACCTAATATGCCTAATATGTAGACTCCCGGACTCAAGTTTTTTACAACACTTCAAAGCACATATTTATAGTACCTAACTATTTTTCTCACCATTGGACTTTCTGTATACAGAAACTGAAGAACGCGAATGTCTGCTTCTCGACGAATATGCTGGCTGTTCTATAGAAGAAATGGAACAAATGACAAGCTGCAGTAGTAGTATGAAAGACGTTGCGGTTGATGTTGAAGACGCGGCTTCGGATATAGAAGCTAGCGACGGCGAACTGTCTTCTGGAGACGACTCTACTGATATTGATGCAGTAGTTAAAGAATACAGGGATACAATACAAGTAATTTCACATTTAATATCGCGATAAGACGCACCTAATAAAACAAAAGTGTAATATGCTCTTTCATTCGGTTTTCTACGCTTTGCAAACTCGATTCTACAGAATATTATCTCAAACGTTACTCCAATACCCCTTTGTATCAGTGGCGTAGCGTGGGACAGGCGCAGAGGGGGCCATGGCCTAGGTTGTCACAGCGAAGGGGGCGGCGGCCAGCGCGGCCGACTATCTATTTAAAATATTTTTTTTACTGAACATTAGAAAATAAATTCCTCTATTTGAGAAATCCTGAACAACACAACATAAAAACACAATCGAGCCGAACCTGCCCGAACGAACTACTTTTGTAATCGTGAAAATGGTCAAAATAGAGGGGCAGCAAATTTAAGGATGGCTCCCGGCCGGCAGATATTGACGCTACACCACGGCTTTGAATATGTCTTATGTAAATCTATTAAAATAAACGAATTTTTTTCTATAATAGTCTGTAAACGTTTGTGTTATCTGTTATTGTAGATTGTTTTCTCAGTGTATATAGTCTGTCATCGAAAATAGGGCGCGTATTCCTGAAGTCGACGGTATTTCAAAAAAGAAGAATACGCAATGTTATTGGTTTCCACATTTTTTAGGTAGTGACAGCACGGCCAGAAGCGAGTGCACCAATTCCTCCGTGCGTTCGCGGTGCTAGATGGTCGGCCGCTGGAGCAGCAACCCAACTTCTAGCTGATGCCTTAATTGCTGTTGCCTTCTGCAAGGAAACTTTAAGAGTGCCTTTATTTGCTACCTGCATACCACGTAAGTAACTATTCATCCGTATTAGAGTACTAAATAAAAGCGGTGACGAGAGAGGCTATGGGGTTACAGGACAGAGTTCTAAAGGGAGACTCATTCTTTGCATACCGTCAGGGATAGTGAAAAGATAACATTAGATCTTTTTTATTTCAATTTCTACTACAACTTTCATTTTTGCACAGTAAGCATTAATTTATGTTATCTACAGGCTGATAATAATCGATTCCCGTAAATCTCGCTTATTTTGTTGCCACATTTACGCAGATTTCATTTGGCCACTAAATTACCGAAATGCTAATAATCTAATGCTAGTTACGCATAATTGCATATCCCCGACGAAAATGTAATTCATGGGTTTTATAAAGCTACTAACAAACTAAAATTATTTGAAATATATTAGGTACATCATACAAGTCGTTGACCTACTATGATATCTAAACCGCTTGCCTCAGTGTAATATAAAACGGGAAGCTAGAAGTTTAAATTTACTGTTCGTAGCATATTGAGTGTCAACTGACTTAACCGATTTTATTTGTTCACCTATAATCAATCATCTTTTGCGTCAAGTCATTCCTTTTTCAAATTAAACGTTCCAATGTTCCTGATATATGCGGTCCGTGTTTCATATGAACTTTTTTTAAACGACCTCAAAAAAGGAGGATGTTCTCAATTCGACTGTATGTTTTTTTTTATGTATGTTACGCGATAACTCCGGTATTTGTGAACCGATTTTCATTTCTTTCTTTTTCGATTATTTTTTTGTTGGAAAGGGGGTACTTCCATAGGGGTCCCCTTTCATTCTGAAGGCAATCATCCACCTCTGAGGGTGGCTGTTCACGCATGAAGATTCATTTTTATAAATAAGGCGCTATTTAAATTTAAATTTTCTTAAAGGAGCAATTATTTTAATGGTTGATTTTGCTATTTCTCCAATTCAAGGCGATTTTGTCTCAATATTCTTTGAGTAGTGAGAACTGATTTTTATTATCTCCAGTGTCAAGTCCTGTATAGTGGCGAATTTAAGGATATTTCAATAAAACTTAGCAAATAGTTGTAATTCCACGTACTTTTGAGGTCGGTTTTTTAAGTACCCTGTACTGAGATTATTAACGCATACATTTATAGTCCCGCACTAGGGAAACCCTGTGTCGTGAGTGCTATGGACATAGACATAGACAACCACAAATTACACCAAAACTCAGGAGAGAAATAAATATAGATCATAGAAATATTTCTCCTCGCCATCAAATTCAAATAAAAAAAAATCTAATTCATATAAGGAATAACTACTTCAGTGTTATTCCAAATATGAATTAGATTTTTTCTTGAACTCCAAAATTCTCTTTTACAGCTAAGGATTTACTGAAAATATTTTTATTTTACAGTATGGATTTGTGGGGCATTGATTTGTGCATGGCAGCCTTCACACAAACTAGGCACGAGGAAAGGACAGAGTTTGGAAGGTTCAACGACATTACTACTGGCTTTATTGTTACTTACACCGTTACTGCTTGATTCTTGGCCAGCCATCGTATTGTTTGCAGGGGCGGGTATGTTAGAATTTACTGTGTATCATTCCTCGTACTGTATGAATGCTAAAGCATTCAGCATGGAGAAAGAATTATCTCGTTCTCTCTCTCTCTCTTTCACCCATGAAGTACAGTTTATGTCGACCCACCTCGATATTATTTGTACTCCGTGCATTTATATACAGATCTATTCACACTTGATTTTATCTCGAAAAACTAGAAGTTAGTATTCTCTATTAACTTGTCAACAATTCATTTTAAAGGAGTGGTGATATACGCCCGTTGCGAACGCTGGTGTGGTGATTTGGCAGTACAGCAAGCACGTAGCGCGATAGAGAAAAGGAAACTACGCCCTGTTGCCTCCACCGTGCCTCTTGCCGGAGCCCAACTGACGAACATTGACGCTGTGTTTATCACCAGGTAATTGAGGATTCATCTTGGAATTCCAAACATGACCAGAAACCAACTTTGCCAGGCTTTTGGAGTTACCTAAATACATATATCGATACCTAACACATAAGTCGTTTACTTACAACGAATATCATTTTTTACTTTTTAAGTCAAATGTATACTTTTACACATATTTTAATATTCCATATTTAAAAGTAAAGAAATTGAAAAGAAAAAGAAAAAGATATAATTATTAAAGTTAATAATCTCAGTACAAAGTACTAAAAAAGCGACCTCAAAAGTTACATCTATTTGCCAAGTTGTATTGAAATCGGTTACCGGAAGTTGAGGAAATCGGATTCATCCCCTAGTTTGCCACAATTAATGGAATCTTTTCTTCAAATTTAAACGGGACAATACTGATGGATACTCTTTCCAACAAAAAAGAATCATCAAAATCGGTTCACAAATTTAAAAAAATTGAAGAGTTATCGCGTAACATACATATAAAAAATAGTCGAATTGAGAACCTCCTCCTTTTTTTGAAGTCGGTTAAAAAGCAAAAACTGGCATTTTTACTTACAACAACTTACGTGGTAGGTATAGATATTGCGTACGACTTTGCGTAATTAAAAATTCCACATTACAGATGACAGGAGGACGATTCGGATACAAGTTTGGATAATTTATTGGACGACGAGGAGCCGGACCCTGACGAATGACACGAAACAAAAGCAATCATCATTATTGCCCCTTAACTCATCGTCTACGCATCATCGCATCATATATTGTGATAGTTTTTGAAACCTAGCTACACGGGCTACATTTTTATGCACCGCGCTGGCTAATTATCATACAAATTAAGTGAGGCGTATGAGATCTTGTAGCTACTTGGACATAAAACAATGTCGTTATAATCGGCGTAGTGGCTTTGAGTTGAATTTGAAGTCATTGCAGAGTCTTGCGCGGGTGGTAAGTATGCTCAAAAAAAGCCTGCGCGAAATTTTATGATAATGAATTGCTATTTCTGCCGCCAAGCAGTAATGTGAGCATTACAGCGTTCCGGCTTTGAAGCCGGAACCGCGCTTTCACGTACATTAATGGCGAAACTGAATTCTATTTACTAGGCAACAACATTTAAATTCCTCGGAATAATACACCGCGTAGACCTCGTAGGCCACTTAAGTTAAAGCTAAATAAATAGAGCTTATTTTACCACGGCGGCAGCCGCGCGGCGTGGACGCAATGAAATTCGTATCGAATAAATGCGCCCTAAGGGTGCTGGTGAAATTACAGGCACATGGGAATTGTCAATTGTACGTCTTTACTCCTCGGGAAACATTGACACCCGACATACCGTATGTAATTGCATCCACCCGTTATTCATTACTACTTGTGCGAACACATATAGATAAGAAATTGGGGTGGCTATTTAGTTACAAAGAAAATTTCAATTAGAACGAAAAACTTCAATTTGCTGACCTGCATAAAACAGGCATAGCGGTTTATCAACAATATGTAGTCATGTAGAGGTCATAAGGTTCATAACGTGATAACATAGTCTACGTTATTATTAAAAATAAGGTAGATAGTCGTGTGAGCTCGCTAGCTAGTATCGTGATTGCCTTAGAGATAAAAAAAACATAACTTTTTGTAGACGTAGAGTTCGTTTCAAAACGAGAGAGCAGTAAAGTAAATCATCCGTCCTCGTTAAAGTAATGCTATCGCAACCTTGGCGTAATAAGGCCACATCTGCAGAAAGACGAACTTTTTAGAGGAAAGTTTAAGGATACTGCGAACGAAATTAAGTTGATTACACACGGCACCGTAACTGCAGCGACGCCGCCACCGCTGCGGCGCCACAGTTGTAGTCGCCCTTGCATTTGTATACACACTTTCATACACGCATCGCAGTTGCAGCCTACTTCATGCCCCGGCGGCGGTGGTGAAGGCTGCCGCAATTCTTTTTTCAAATTCAGTAACAGTAAGCTCCTTGTGAAAAAGTTCGTCCAGAGCAGTACTGCCTTACTTTACCTATGTTCCTGTGTTCATTTTAATCCTTTCAATATATTAAAACGTTCCTTTGGGCTTACGATTCCTTATGTATCTCGTAGGAGGGATCGATATAATCATTCCATTACATTTCGTGGTCTCATTGAGCTACACCGCGCCTTATTATAAAACTTATCAAATTTATTATAAGAAAAATAATTAAAAATAAATAATTAACAATCTGCTTGTGACAAACTGCCTTAAAACTTAAAAAGTACGATAGGTCTTTAACAACCAGAAATGGGAGAATCTTGAAATTATTAATTATTATTAAATTAGCATTCGGCCTAATAACGATATTGTAATAAGATATAAATGTAGTTAACTGTCATTCTCATTTTGCAATAAAACTCTGCTAAATTATCAAGTATGTTTATTTTATAAATACCTCTATTTATTTTTCTAACAAATGCATTCTGTACATCTTTTCTGTATCTTCGTCTTCAAAACTTGGATTGAATTTCACTTCTATAACTTCTTTGAAGCCTTCGCATGGTGCTGGTTCATTGAATTTGTTTCTGAAATACACGTGATTATATTTTGACACGTGACGAGTAGTTAGAAATTAACTGTACAGACGAGAAAAGCTTGGTGATTGCCTATTGCACTCGTTATGAAATCGTCTGTATGTGACGTCATTTAGAACGATGTCATAAGGGCGCTACCGGTGCGTTGCGATGCAACCATGATTTCAACGCACCGAATGCCACACAAGCAATGCAGTGTCGCTTTTTTTCCTGAAAAACACTACAGTTGGACGCTGATGGCCTTCACTGCGCTATTGGATGAAAGGGCGAGCTCAGGACGCCTCTGGGGACTTCCGCCAGAAGGGCGTGCTGCAGTAGGAGAGAACCTACGCGAGTACGTGCTGAAATGACGGGCTCTTTGTCCTCACCGGCGAAGATGGTCATGACGTGGGATGCGGTGTCGCAAATTTAACGCCGGTTACGCTCAGTCACAGTCTCAGGCTCAACTCACACTGGCGCAGAGCAGAGTCGAAGCGTCGAGTCGCGTCCTGTTCTTGAACTATTATCGCTAGCATTACAGCGCGGATGCGCGCATCGTCTCACGTCGGTACGCGATTCCATATTTGCATAACACAAATTTGTACCTCAATAATGGGAAAACAGAGATTAATATGCTATAGGCGAAAAACATGACGCGTCGCGACGCTTCGACTCTGCGGCAGTGTGAGTTGAGCCTTAGGCAGTATGTATGCACGTTGATATAATAAAGATTTATTTCCTTAAAAATACTTACTTATAAGTATGAAATATAATATCGTTAACAGGAACGTGTTTAATTTTCATTAATTCCCGGAATCTGTTATTGTGTTGCGCGTGGGCCTTAGTCGTCGTCAACTTGACGCAACGGCATTGTACTTTTAAATCTTTGGCCAGAGATGTCCATCGAGCTCGAGACTCTCTGTCTGGATTTGTACTGTCGACTATGACGCTTTTTCCTAGCTGTAAACATTCAAGTATTTTAATATTTTTATTTTACATGGTACAACAACAAATTGAAGGGCAGTTTTTTGTTGGCGGAGTCACACTCAATTACAGGGTTATCAATGTTATCATAGACCGTTGTCACTGACTTCTGGTTATCAAGAGGCTAGTGCCTGGGGTGAGCCGCCCCGAAATGCCCTCTTTAGTTATATGTATATATTATCACATTCGAGATCACGGCTTTGGTGGCAAATTTAACAATTTAGAAATCTCCTATCAGTTTCAACTATTCCACACTAGATGGCGTTATGTGTATCTAACGCGAGGGCCGCCTACGAACCGCGACGTGTCTAGCGAATTCGTTTATTGCTACAAGTGTCAGCGTCGAGCATCAATTACAATAATGTGATTTTATTTATAAAAGGCCACAAAGTAGCACTGCAACTCGCAGCTAAATTCGCGTTACGCGCGTTTTTTGCGGGGGACCAGCAGCTTGATTTTGATTGCCTCTCCCATCGAGTTTATAACCAGAAATAGAAACGAAATAAGGGCCATATTTCTGGTAACACATTAGCGATACAGCTCTTATAAATATCAACTCTTGTTTGCACTGAAACATAGACAGGCCAACTACTGAGGGCTTCCAATCCCGCACCTCATGCTCGATCTCGGTATTAGCGGAATTCAGAATGTTTAATCCCGCGGGATCCCGGTATTGGCGGGATCCCGCATATAAAAATAATGAATAATTCATGTGAGGCAAATAAAACAATAATCAAGTTGAATCAACAAAATTCCACTTTAATTAAAACTTTACTATTAGCATGAGATCAATCAAATTGCACTTGTATTAAATTACTGACATCAAAATACAAACAAACAAAATACAAAATTAAGTAAAAAAAAACAAAACATTTTCAGCTGAATGTTAACAGAACTAATTATTTAGTTTCGTTCGTCATTTTGTTATCATTCAATTGAAAATATTTGCGAAGAAAACATAACATATCCAAAGTGTCATCAGCTAAACTGCTGCGTATTTTAGAAGCAATATAGCCAGCCGCAGAGAAGGCTCTTTCGGCTTCTACACTAGTCGGTGGTATTCCTTTTAAGGCTTTATATGTAAATGTGAGATATTGACCCATTGACCCTCCAGACTCATAATGAGTAAGTTCTTTTTTTATGATAGATTCAAGACTGTTAGCTCGAGATGGTGACGGGCAAATTGCATTACATGCTGATGATATAGTTAACTCCAATTCCTGTTGCAAAGTAAGATCAGAATTAGATGGCGAAATTTCTTCGCTGTTGTTTGTCCCTTGAACTGGAACAAGCCCTTCCTCGTCATTGCTCTCAGCCTCAGATAAATTTATAATGCTGAATTTCATTCTCGTGACAAGGTCTATAATTTGTTTTCGAAGTACGTTTTTCGCTGGAAGACAAAATGTTTCATCATCATACGAAGCACAGTAATTACAAGGATTTTGAAGGTATATTAAAAGTGCAGTCAAATTTGTGCGTCGTTGTGAAATACGTCGGCGCAAACATAGAGCGAGTTCTGAAGCTAATGCTGATTTATCATCTTCTAGTTTTTTAATCATGAATTTCAGCGTAGCCTCAGCAGTAATCAGACTCGCATCTTGACGACAAAGGACTTCGACAGCAAGTTTCACCGGCTTCAGGATATTTTCGAGATTCACTAATGCATCAAATTCATGTTGTGAAAACCTATACTCAATGTTCGTACCTAGGCCCAGGTCAATTAAGGTTTTAGCAATACACAATTTTAGTTTGTTAAATTTTTCAACCATAACAGCCAAACTACTCCATCTTGTCTTACAATCTCCATCTAACTCAATTTTCCGTCCAAATTCATTCTTGACATATTTTTGAAGCACGTCATTCTTAGTTGGTGAGCATTTAAACATACGAACCGTTTTGCGAACCTTGATTTCCGTTTCAAAAGCCGCAACATCAACCGTAAATCCACTATTTACATTTGACCTGTCGTCGTCGTCATTAGTTTCAGCCTCAGAATTGTCAAGTATATCATCATCAATCTGTCCTTGTCGAATAGACTCATTTTTTTTATAAAGTACGTCCAAAATTCCAAGCTGCAAACCATGCGCATAACAGAGTTGTTGAAATGCAGGTATCAAACTACCGGTTTTAACCATAACTGACGCTGCATCAGTTGTAATTGCTACGATATCTTTGTCCAAATCAATGTCAAATTCCTTTAATTTTTTTCTTAACGTTTCTACGCAAACGGTTGCTGGCATGCTTCCAAAAATACGAGTAAGTCCAAAATTCCAAAACAAAGCACGATCATTAGCGTAGGTATGAGCGTTGATGTTGAGATACCGCCTGTTACTTGAAGATGTCCACTCGTCAAATGTAAGCGAAAAACGGTGGCCACTTTCTTTCAATTGCGACAATTCATTGAGAACTTTCATACGAATAGTCATACCGTAGTTCATAACCATCACTCGAATAATTGTGGATGATCGAGGCAGAACGAAGCCCTTAGCTTTAAACAATTCTCGTAAATCGTCAGAGGTTACGAACACACTCAAAGGTAATCCGTCCTTTGCAGTCATACGAGCAACCCTTTTTTCCATTGAATCTTCACTGTTTTGTATTGGAAAATGATGGGTAATCTTCGTTCGCTTTGAAGCCGACGGAAACATGGACAAATTTATACTCACACTTGACGACGATGCAGCATTTTCGAACACATTTTTGCTTAAGTCTTCTATTTGATGCTTGGACTTCAAATGCACGTGTAATCCTTTCGTAGATCTAGCAGTGGTTTTGATAACAGTCTTGCACAAATTACATTTCGCAGATAACCCATCATCAGATTTAAGAAAATATTCCCAAACAAATGATGAAATGAAATTGCTCGAAAAAGAACTATACTTTACTAAACTTCACATTTTAATGTGTTCAGGACGAAAACGTGTTCGCGCCCATATGATTTATAATATTGTAATTTATTATTGTAATTTATTATTGTTAATTTCGTTTAAGATTTTGGTAAATAAACGAGAGGGAGAGATGGGTCTTGCTTGGAGTCTGTAGGGTTCTCCCGTCCCGCTCCTGCATTGGTGCCGTCCCGCTCGCACACTTGAATAGAATGCGAGCGGCACGGCGGGCCAGCGATGATATAAAAGGCGGAGCGTTGGGAGCGGAACGACATTCCAAAACTGACTGCATAAGAATCCGAAGGCGTTCCAAATCTCACCGCGATCCAAGCAAAACCAACATCAAGAAGCTCAATTTACAACCAGGCGTTTTTCACTTAATCCGCCCCCACATAATGTATTTTAGTATACTAAAATACAAGAGGTTATAACACATAAACTTTACTAAAATACAAGAAAACCAATAATTAAAGTAATTATCAATATTTCATGCAGCCGACTAAAACAAATCATAAACAAATGACACTCGTTCGTTTCGCACACCACTTCCCGCCCCCCGCGTTCGCAGAGCGGAGCGGCAGATGCCTACGCTGAGCCGCGCGCCGCGCCGGCAGTCGCCGAGCGATCGCGCTCGCGAATGGTTGTGCGCATGATTCTTTGCAGTCCCGCAAATCCCGCGGGATCCCGCATCCGTAATCCCGCAACACGCGGGACTAGAAAATGATGCGGGATCTCGGAATACCGAGATCTCGGTATTGCGGGATTGGAAGCTCAGGTCAGTGACCTGTGTGTACGTCTCCGTATATTCCAAAAAATATTCTGTATTTATTGTAATAAAGATAATATCTGTAACAATGCCATGCTCTTCTATTCGGTGGTGTCGGAAAAACACAAAACATCTAATTTGCAAAGCTCAAGTTAACTGGTCGATTTGAAGTGAAACAGTTGACGGCAGCCATTGACGACACCCGTCAATTGTTTGGAACTCGGGCTAGCTAATCGGAGCGCAGTTGTCACCATAGATTTAGTATATAGGTACCATTGACTTACAATTATATGGACGTCGGGTCCGCGCTAAAAAGTGTCCGAACTTATAGGGCGTTAAAATCGTATACAGAGCGTCATTCACGGTTTAGTCTTCATTTGTTCGACTGACAGCGAAGCAAGCAAAATTAGACAGTACTGCGATGATATTACAATTTAAATTCACCGTTTTAGCTTTTTCATATTCCTACTACACTACGTTTAAATAGGTTGACTTGGGACATTTTTTTCGTGGTTTTTGTATTAGACCCGTCGTCCATTTATTTGTAAGTCAATGATAGGTACCCATAGATTGGCAATGCAAGTGAAGTTAGTATACACGTATGTTAGAGCGAGATGGGTAGACGAGACCACTTCATTACACGCTATGAGCCTGTATGAACCTAGGGTTAGCTGACAACGAAACAAATTTCGTTTATTTTTGAAAAATAATTAGTTTTAAAATGTAAAATAGTGTTAAAAGGACGTTAATTAGTCATGGTAACGTATTCAGTGCCCGGATGTAACTCATCTAAAAAGGAAAACTCGCAGAATTGTACATTTCACATGTACGTACTATTTAAATTTTTAGCTGTCTAAAAGCACTACCACAAAAGTTTTTTACATAAATATATCCGTAAAATTATACCATTCAAGTGCATTAATAACCCAAATGTATACGAATTCAATTAAAAAATATATCAAATATGTGAATTTCTGAAATTGATAACCCCACTTTCGCAGAGATTGACGCAATCGATAATATGTTTTCGACATTTCATTATCTGAAAAAAAGAAAGGCAAAGGCGTGACTTGCATACAGCAGAAATCATCTTCATACTTAATATTATTGAATCAGAAATTTCTGATTTTAGTACTTTAATTTAATGAATATTGCATTAGTGCATTATTTTTTATCTACATTAAAACGAAAATTTCTTTTAATAGCGTAGTTAAGGCACCCATTTTTTTAAGTTAATTATTGTTGTTGATTCAGATTTCCTCAAAACATTGAAGTACGACAGAAATGGTTTATAATGTTACAGAGAGAAGACTGGGCTCCCAAAAAGTTTTCAAAAATATGCAGCCAACACTTTGAGGAAAAATGCTTTTCCTTTAGAGGCAAGCAAAGAGTAAAGCTACGTTCTGGTTCTGTACCCACATTATTCATGCCGGTATGTCTTACAATTAATGGATTTTTGTGTAGTACTACTCTCGTCAACAACAAATCAGCGATTTGTTGTTGTTAGAGTTCTGTTCTGTTCCGAAATACGATACTCATATAGGATCACTTGTGTCTGTCCGTCTGTCACAGCCACTTTACTCCAAACCTACTGGACTGATTATTTTGAAATTTGGTACACATATGCATTTGTGTGACCAAAACGTGTAACGTAAATAAATTGGTTCGTGGCCACCATACTATCGCGCGTAACTGATCATGGGTCTTATCACGGTTTTGTAGAGCCACAGTGTTATCTTAGGTGAAAGTCCCCATTGTTTACCTACCATCCTATGGCACTGCCAGAAGGTGATAGTAGCTTTCTTAATTTTGTATTGAATCATTAATTAATTAGTTAATTAACGTCTCGGCGTTTTGCGATAAGACATTTTGGTGCATACGCCGAAGTAAAATGCCGGTGTAATATGTTAATCGACATTAAAGTTAAATCAGTGGATGGCGCAACACTATTTATCTTGCACACATCCACATTACACGCACACAGATGTATTTTTGTTTTGGTCTCGTCTCCAATACTTTAGGGCCAATCTATGGACATACTAAATCTATGGTTGCCACAGTAATGATATGGCAGAATAGTTTTCAAACAAATTAAATGACATTTCGTCTCTATTTCTGGTTATATACTTCATGGCCTCTCGCGATCGGAAACTGCGTCTTTTCCGAATCGAGGCGTACAATATTGCGGATGGGCTACCCGATCGGATCGATTCCGAATTGAATTAAAATCAGGGCCCAAAATACATAAACAAGAACGTTCCACAGTGTGCAACTGCCGCTCCACGCGTCAACGTTTCAAACAAAATATTTTGTTATTATTTGTTGTTTGGTTACTAATGAAAGCAAATAGTTATCAAATTGCATTATTAATAATAATACACATTTAAAGTATATTTCACCAAAAATATTAAACAATATTAACTATAAAATTCGTAAAAGGAATTCTACTTGATTTCCCCCCACCACTGTAGACGCTGCTGTAAGTGAATTACAGATGTAATGAATAATCCTTTCCTATCGGCAAAACTCGGAACAACGATAACACCCGAATGGTGCCGATGTGTCTATGAATTACTGTATTATTAAATTACGTGTAGGTATCAAATAAATCGCATACTTTATTTATCAATGTCAAATGTCAAACTGCCCGTTTGACGTATATTACACTGAGATGTTAAAACCACCACGATTCTATCATATAAAGAATTCGTTAGGTAATATAACTAGTTACCGAGGACGTTTTATTTCAATAAAACGCACTGACAAAAACCAAATTCCGGTTGGGATGATCTAATGATTCTATAAGGATTGGAACCCCAAAAGTCTAACTATAAGTCAAAACTACAGTAGGATTTTGCAGACCTTTTTTATAACAATTAATTTTTTTAATTAATTAAAAATACTATGACATAACAAAAAAGACACCTCAACATAAAACAAAACAAACCAGCAGAGAAATTAATATAAATAAATATGATTTTCTGATTGGATGAACGACTTCGATTATGACAGCGGGATAAGAGGAGGAGGAGCGGGGTGGACAGTGTGATGCGAAACAACACTTCCAACTTCCATATCACAGTCAGATTCAGAACTATTTTCTGGTGTATCATCGTCAGAGTTTTCATGAACGTTGATTACAAAACTAGCCATATAATTTTCCAACTCAGGTTCGTGTTTTCGGTACTCGTTTTCGCATTTGATGGCGTGGTCACATACTTTGGCCCAAACATCGGAACCAATCATATTAACCTTTTCCTGTACCAATTGTTTCACAGTAGTCATATTCATACTGATGTTTCTTTTGGATACGTATCCCTTTATTTGAGACCATATGTTTTCAATCGGATTGAAATCAGGATGATATGGTGGCAATCTTAGTACGCTGTGTCCATATTCGTTCATAAGTTTATCTATAGAGTATTCTAGAAAGTCTTGTTTGTACTTGCAAATAATTTCATATATTTCAATTTTTGTTAATGACGGATCAATCGGAACGTTAAGTTTGGATAGCCAATCAATCATGTCTTGCTTACGGGTATTTGAATTAGGAGGTTTTTCTACGTACTTATTATGATATGCAGCATTATCTACTACTAGTACCGAATGTGGAGCTAAGTTTGGAATGAGTTGATTACGAAGCCATTTTTCATAGTTTTCATTGTTCATCGCGTTGTGATAGTCACCTGTTTTATCAGTAGACTGATACATTAACAATGCCATAGGTATAAACCCCTTTCTACTACCAGCGTGCACTATTATAAGACGTTGTCCTTTAGAAATTAACTGTTTCACTCCGTTTTCTGACGAGTCAGCCCAGCTTTTACCTGCCAAATGTGAGGTATGGATGTATGTTTCATCCATATAAACAATCTCTCTCCCTTGCAATCTGTACTTTTTTATCGCGGCTAAAAACTTTACTCTTTTTAAACGAACATCATCTTTCTCGATAAGTAATTTTCTGTTGTTTTCAACTTTTTTATACCGAAATCCCATTTTTCTAAGAATTTTTCTTAGCGTAAAGTCACATCCCTTAAAATTTATGGCTTCGGATAACTTGGACTTCAGGGCTTTAATTGTAGGTACTTGTTTGTATATCAAATGGAAATTATACACTAATCGGCGTATAACGTTGTAGTCAAAATCGTCAAGACCTAGACAAAATAATTTATTTGGTCTACCCAACTTTGCCGACTACGGACTATTGGAGGTAGATTGATTTATGTATTCTTTTTGCAATATTTTATTTACTGTTCGTTGAGAAATTCCACTGGCCTCCGAAACTCGTTTTTGGACTTTACAAAAGTAAGCAGTATAGTTGGTATGTTTGAATTTATCATTTTCAGTTAAGAAATATAAATAAATATTGAAAATAACTTCGCAGGCTTGCCGATCTAAACGTTTCCCTTTTCTTAGTGCTTTCGGCATGTCTGTTATAAATTGTTAATGTGGATCGAATAAAATCAATGTTTATTATTTACAAAAATGACAGACAAGAGTGACATGTAAAAGGTCTATCAAAATACAGGTGGCCTGCATTAATACACGAGTCCATGAAGTTTATCACAAAATCTAACATAAATATATTTCTGTGGTATTAACTACTCTATATAGATACTTCCTCTTGCAATGCGACCTTTCCCTACGTTGTCTCGAGGGGTACTGAGTGCGAGTGAAGTAGTAAGACAAAAACGAACATTTCCGAGAAAATACGAAAGGAAAGGATTATTCACTACATCTGTACTAAACTTCGTGGGTGTATTTTGACTTGACGCTTTCAGTTAATTGGCGCTTCAAGCGTGGCGATACTTTCGTGGCCGAGGCGTTATTATTGAATTTCAAAAAATGGTGTATTCCAATTCCAGGTGTTGCAGCTATTTCACACTAGATGGTGTTACGTGTAATGAATGTATGGGCACAGTTTTACAGACATTGTTATTACAATGTTATTAAATTGTGGCAGAGAACAAAACACTGTGGTATGGGTGTGGGTGAAGAATGGCAAATAATTCAGGGGCAAAGTCCATATCTTGAATGGTTTAAAAACAAAGCATTGTTAACTTATACATTCCACTTTTTTGTCTAGTTTTGTCCTTACATGTACAGTCTTCGTAGATTTTTTTTACATTTTGTTCTTATTTTAGTTTTTACTCAAACAACTCTTTATTTTATAATTATTCATACGTCTTTTATATCACTAACAGTACCACACATTATTTGTCACTTGTTAAGCGCTATTATCGAGTAATATAGAGATACGTACATATTATCTTTGTTGTTTACTATTTATTAAATTGAATAAAATACAGAGCCGATGTTTACTCGCAAAGCGCCCTCTACTGACCTTATATTAACAACTACAATGAGTAATAATGAAAATCCTTACCTTAACTAATTCTGTAGCTTTAGCTGCACATTTTTGCCAAGTGCCCAATATATCTCTACAGACTGCCACATATCTTTGTGCAGATTTCTTCTCTATTTGATTCGCCAAAAACGATTTGCCACTGCCTGGATATCCCACTAGTACAAGAATCTGTAATTTTAATAAAATAATAATTAATTAATAACAAATACAAAACATGATAAAATTCAGAGTTTGAACTCTAAAGTATGATTGTTCAGTCAACAGCACATCAGACTACACATTTTTGTTCGAAAATCGCTTTCTTAGCTCCACAAGTCCTAGACAAGTAGCAAACTCTCCCAATCTATTCCATTTCTACAATCGTTAACAGTGAAACATAAACGATAATAGATTCAGTACATCAGACTACACATTTTTGTTCGAAAATCACCTCCATAGTTCCAGGTGTAACAGAACAAGATACGTCAATGTGTAGCTTGATATGCTATTGACTGTACCTATAATAATACACTGAAAACAATTTTACTTTTCTATATAATTTCATCATCTGCAACCCATTTATACGTCCCACTGCTGGGCACGGGTCTCCTCTTAGGCGCGGGTTTAGGCCATAATCCGCCATGCTGGCCATAATGAAAATTTAATTGGGGACTTCACACGTTTTCCAAAGGTTATAAATAAACCTTCGACGTGCAGGTTTAATAACGATGTTCCTCCATCGAAAAGCTGATGGTAAATTTCAAATTTAAATTCAATATTTATTTCGTGTTTATTTTGATGTTATTAAAAAGACAGGACCGCATGGTGAAAAGGAATAGTTGAAATATATTTAAAATTTTTTTTTTAAATAAATGCGCATTTCACCTCCATCTCACCTGATGGAAAGTGACGATTAGGCCGAGGATGTGGCAATACCCTAACTAATGCCTATTCACTCTCGTCTGTCTTGAAAAGGTCAAGTTATAGCGTTCGGGAACAAGTCTGCAGGCAGGGAATTCCACTTCCTAGCCGCTCGTAGTAGTAGTAGAGCCATCCCATAAGTGGTAGCAGTATTCCATACATGACGGGACTTGTGCTTGGTACGGCTGAAGCAACTGTCCCGGTGTGAAGTAACGCCCCAACTTGGAAAGGATGCCAAGCTTCCTGGCTGCATTTTTGCGATGGATACAATGTATCTGCCGAAGTGGATATATCACGAAAAGTCGAAGTCAGGCGAAAGGAGCTCCGTTTAGTGAAAAAAAGACACGCCTGCGTTTTGGTAGCATTAAATTTGACAAGATTGACAACGCCCCAATCGGAGACTGATTTAAGTGTCAAATTCAAACAAGTAACCATGGACTCTCGACAAGACTGGATTTCTTCTCCACTGACCCTTGCAGTTGTGGACGGGTAATGCCTGTCAAAGGCATTAGAAATATCTAAAGACGCTGCAATGGTTTCGCCATGCCCTTCTCTAGCCTCGCTCCATTAGAGAGGCGTACACAAGAAAATCCCCAGTAGATCGCTCTCTTCGCAATCTGTACTGGCGATCACTGAGGAGATGGTTGTCTTCAAGGTTCGACAGGAGATGGTTGTTAAGTTCCACGTTCCATAGTCTTGCAGAGTATGGAAGTGACTGAGATAGGTCTATAGTTGACAGGGTCAGCTCTGCTTCTTTTTTTTACTGGTTGCATATTTGCAAGCTTCCACGTCCTGGGAACTACACCAGTCTCATGTGAGAGGCGATACAGGCGTGTGGGAATAGGAGACAACTCTGGCGCACAGTTACGCAGGACTATTGCTGGAATTCCATCTGGCCTGCTAGCTTTGTGCATGTTTAGACTTCGCAGAGTTCCGAGTCCTCTTTTTGGCGTATGCGAACTGGTGCCATAGTGCAACCAGCCTAAGGTAGAGAAGGTGGTAGGTATCCTGCGGCATCCGGATGCGAACTCTCTGCAAAGAGTGAGGCGAAGAGATTCGCCTTTTCTTCCGCAGTATGGGCCAGCGAGCCATCTGACCTTCGCAGAGATGGTAATGAGTGGCTACTAAAGTTTTTTTCGACCATTTTGGCCAGGGACCTAAAGAACTTGCTGCCTGCTGGAAAATAGGCAAGCATGGCCCCTATGCCGCGCAAATGGTCGAACTTGGCCCTGCGTGACACGTCTTTGCTCTTCTTGGCGGCTCTATTAAAGGCTTTCTTCAGATTCAGAGTATTCGGAGCTTTACGCATCTGCCTAAGCTTAGTACGCAGACAGTTTTTGTGCTTCAGCACGACTACAGTCAGCGTTAAACCATGGACGAGCTTGGGGTCCATTGGTTACATCGAAGTATGGTATGTAATACACCATGCCCAATCGCAAGACGTCAACTACAGCACCAGCCCAGCTCGACGAATCTCCTGAAGTAAAGCAAGCCTGCCAGGGATATGAAGCAAAAAAATGGCACATTTCTTTCCAATCTGCTAACCTGTATCGCCACAACCGTCTCGTACCACTGGGGCCCTAATCGGGTGGAGAGTATTCAGATATAGACTTCACAAGACAGTGGCCAGAGGTATCCAATGGTGTATCCACAACCACCGAGTATCGGTTTGGATCAGTTGTTAGCAGTGCGTAGGTCCGAGCAATTAGCCGTATGAGACTCAACATCTGGGATCATTGTGGCGCCACTGACAAGCTGGGAAAGGCTTAGCGATAACGCAAGTTTTCGCGTCTCTCTCCCAGCATGATCAGTCATCTGGTATATCAACAACCATTCTTGATGGTGTGCATTAAAGTAACCCAGAATGACTTGTTGCGCCACTGGATCTCGCTGAGATGTTGGAACAGCAGTTGGAACAGCAGCAACATAAATGAAGCAAGGTATGTTAAAATAAGATAAGTAAATATATTATGCATAAATAATTACCTCCTTTACAGCACTTATTAAATTTTCATTAAATGGCTCGGATTTCAGTTCTTTAGGCACAAAATCTGGTTTAGCCATTGGAATATTAGTCCCAGAATGTCCAAGGAAGAATTGTTCTGGTGTGTAAAACTTGAGTCCTAAATTTTCAGCCAGTAATTTGTCAGCCATAGAGTGGTCTTTTTTCTTCCCTGGTGCCCATTTAGCGAGTCTGCCGGCTGCGTCGCCGCAATAAAAACTTTCGTTCATATTTATCTCCAGTCCTCCGTTTTTCTAGAAAGTACAGTTTAACACATTTATAAAAGTTGTCACTTGCCGATGGTAATTAAATCAGATATGTATAAATGATTATGAAATCCAAAAACATGCCTGAATAATTACACTCAGCCAAAAATAATAATGGAAATTGATAAAGTCAGCTTCTATTATTAGATAAGTCTTAGAGCCTCCAAATTAGACGCTTGTAGAAGCGCTATAGTGGCGAGACAGTGGCGCGACAACTGCGCTTCTAAACATTGTATGAAAATTTGTCTGTAGACGCGTAATGTTTAGTAATAGTTAGTTCACTAATTAGTGACTATAAAATTGGCGCGCGCGTGTCACGCCAAACTTCTAGTAGATTTCTAAATATTTAATGAAAATTAGTAGTGGCGCGACTGCCGCGCCATTGTGGCATAACTGCAGAGCCATTGAGCGCCACTGCAACGCGTGTATAAGCGTCGAATTTGATGGCGCCCTAAGCTACAAGGGGCTAGACTAGAGTGCTAGAGCAATGTTTCTTTCTGCTATACTATACACCAACATTCTGTCATTATCATTTTAGTAGCAGCAGAGCTCTTTGTGAGAGTTCGTCCACGGAAGTTCTGCCACCTTACCTATTTTTACCGCCAAGCAGTAATGTGCCCATCACTGCTTTCCGGTTTTGAAGGGCAAGGGCGCCGGTGTAATTACAGGCACATGAGACTTGTCAACTTGTCTCAGGGTGACGAACGCAGTGGCAGTGTCCCTCGGATCTTTGCGATTTGAAGCTCTGAGTGGCACTGCAACAGCTATAGACAGGCATGTCGATTAACACCAGACCCACGACTTATTCATTCCATCACTATCACTACTAAGAGTTTGTTCAGGGAAGTACTGCCACCGTACCTATTTCTACCGCCAACCAGTAATGTCAGCATTACTGCGTTCCGATTTTGAAGGGTAAGGGTGTTGGTGAGATTACAAGCACATGGGATTTGTCAACTTATGTCAAAGGGTGACGAGGGCAGTGGCAGTGCCCCAGATCTTTGCGATTTAAAGCTCTGAGTGGCACTGCAAGTGTTAAGAACAGGCGTGTAGCTTACCATCAGGCGCACTACTTGTTCGTCCCGTCACTTAATATTATCATATAAAAAAACTTAGCCTCATAAAAAACACTAATAACTTACACACTCATAGCCCCGCGCTTAGAAAACCCAGTATCGCGGCCTGGGTGCCATGGACACACACATAGACAACTACACACTTATACTCACAAGAGAAATAGATGTAAGCTATACAAATATTTCTCCCAGTCTGGGAATCCACCATACCATAACCATTCGGCCACACGAAATTTTTATCTAACAAAACAAACAACAAAACAACAGCATACAGAAAGTTAACTCGCTCACATCACAATACTACGATCTGAACTGCAGACTTGCAAATTTATGTAGTATATTCAACAAAATTACCTGTTCAGCTAAAACTTTCCACATCCCAGTAGCAGGTTTCCTATAAATGCCTTTTCCAGTAGCAATGTAAACTTCAATGGGTACGTCTATCTTTGAGACCACATTTTCAATTTTTATCTTGAAATCTTCTATTTTCACCCGCCCATTTCCTATAGGAGCTTGATTACTTAGAATGACAATTTTGAACCCATATGTGAGTAGTTCTTTCAATTTTTGTGTAACATTAGGAAATATAATTTTCCAGTCATGAGTATCGACAGGATAAACTTTACCAGACTTGGTTGTGATCAGTGTACCATCCATGTCGAAAGCTGCTATTTTCTTACTAGGTTTTGTGCCCTTCATAGTGAAAACATACAGCTCTCCCTTGTCTATTTCATCCCATGAAGAAATGGCAACACCATCTATAGAATTTTCTGTTTCTTGTGTGCTATGGGTGCTATCTGATGTCAATTTTGAGATTTTATTTTTAATTGGAGAAATTACATCTTCTAATTTTCTCTTTGTTGTGGGTAGATCATTGTCCTCAGGCGGCGGATCAAATTCAATCACATGAATGTAATGATTTAACAATATTTCAATGCGAGTACCATGATTCACTTTCAGAGTACCACATTTTGTTAGAGCGAAGCCATTGAGACCGGAAGGATTTACTCCTAGTTGTTTGACTTCAACTGTGCAATTGTCACAATCAGCTTTGAAACTTACTGCAAGGCAGTTTAAATATTAGACTCCAAAGCAGTTTTACATACAATTCACAATATTGTTGCTGTGGCTTAAACATACAACAGTTTACTAATACATGCCAATTCAAGTATTTCAATTTAAGTATATAAGATACCTAATAAATTCAAACTTATGCTATAGACCATAGTTTCCGAAAGTGGTTCCTTCCACCTCCCAGTGGGCACAGAATAGTCCTAGGATAGGCACCCGGGAAGCAATTGGGGAGCGTTGATGTTGTCCAGGGAGTATTTGAAAAAAATCCTGAATACATATATTTCCTAAATTTATATATAATATACAAATCCTATATTTAAACTGCACTACAAATAATTTTTTTTTCCTTGTGATTTTTTGTGTTAAATTAATATGAAAAATACCCATTTCCCATTTTTTTTGTTCTTGTGGGTGTTGATATTTTTTTATCTTGCCTAAGTGAGCGGTGAGCCAAAAAGTTTGGGAACCTATGCTGTGGACTATATAAAGGTATATAATTATATGAATAAAGATATTATTTGTTTTATTATATGCTATTTATTAAAATATTATTGAAATAATAAGGAAGGTCTAAGAACGGAAATTGGTACCTAATATAATAATAATATCCTATTCAAATATTTTTTGTTTTTTCTTTTTTGCTAGTTGCTGCTAAAGCCCTTCAGCTTTAGTGCAAGAATTTAGCATCTACAATCAAAAACGAGTTAACATATGGGGTGCAAAAAACTTACACTGCTGCCGAGAACAAGACGGGTCCTTGATTTTAGTAATTCTGCTACGGCCGACAACGATTTCGACGTTGTGCGGCAGCCTTATAGGCGAGTGTGAATCCAACAAACATCTCAAAAAGCACTGACGGGACATGTTTTTGTCTTCTTATGACGTAAATAGTGTACTATCTCAGCTTATCTCTGCAATCTGCACTAATTACTATGACCTGCTAATATTTTTCTAATGAAAGTTGATCTTGGTTTAGATTAGTATACATATAATACTGTAATTTACACAATGTTTAGATCAAAGAATACTTAATATGATTTAGATTCGAGATTGATATATGTGACAGTCTCGGATGCTTGTCATTACTCTAGGGTGCGTTTAAGACCGCCACAGGCTAAAAATTCGCCAGCTAAAAATTAATCTGCCGAGGCATCCGTGAACGGAGTCTTAGGTTTATGTCAATGTAAGCTGCCAAATTCAAATGACAGCTGTCATAAGTACCTAATTCAAACTTTAATAAAGCAGAAACAACAAACAGCTGTCAATAGTGTCAATCTGACAGCAGGTTAAAATTTCGCGACCTAAAAAGCACGCGAAAATTTATCCCAACTAGGCTAAATTTTATCCTAGCCTGAAAGTCAAAATAAAAACGACACTTTTCCCTCCAAAAGTTCCAGAGCGAATCAGTTTGTGCTCTGAGGTGGCAGTGGCAGTAGTGTTTTGCAATGCCAATGCCAGAGTTTACACAACTAACAAATTATTTTTTTTTTCTTACAGTTTGGCGCTATGGCGTCCAGCCTTTGGCCATATGTAATTTCCACTGAGTTGCAAATTTTTGATAATTCTTCCAAATACGTTGCAGTTGTTGTTGTGGAACTTTGGTTGGGTTTATAATATGAAATTAAAAACGGCGAAAGGAAATCGAGGAATAAAATAAAAGCAAACGGAATTTTGGAAGGGTGATCAACAGGATAGGACAGGTAATATATTTATAAGTAAATCTAACCAATGAATGATGGTAATTATGAAAGGAAATGGAGATGAGATGGTAATAATTGAAAATTATGATAATTGTATAAATAATCATCTAAATTTTAATATCATTTTTCCTTATAAGCTAAGCCAAAACATTGTAAACGGAATAATTATTATACGATAATAACAGAGGAATAGATATAGATAGAAATTATAGATTGAAAAAACGATGCACGGTCATATCTTGGACAGGAAAAGAAAAGATGGTTCAGACTGCCAATGTCTTCGTTCGCATTCGCACATTGAATCAGGTATATATTAAGTCTAGCAAGATGTTCAGATGAGCAAGTATGTCCTAATCTCATTCTTGTAATGATTGAAGTAACACGTTTCTCAAAATGTATACGCGAAAACCAGGGTTTGACAGGGATGTCGGGCTGTATATCACGAAAATATCTACCCGTAGCTTTACTGCTTGTTTCCCACACAGTTTGCCAAGATAAATAGCAGGTAGTGTAGCCAAGTCATGAGCAAAGTTTCTATATAAATCTACATCGCCGTTATTTATTGCATCTTTAGCTGAGATATCGGCTCTCTCGTTACCTCTAATATCACTGTGACTTGGTATCCACACAAATAATACAGAAAGACCCTTT